CTACTTTAAAGAGTCCTCTCCTGCTGATGTTCAGGTGTATATCAGTATGTAGTGTCTCTACTTTAAAGAGTCCTCTCCTGCTGATGTTCAGGTGCATATCAGTATGTAGTGTCTCTACTTTAAAGAGTCCTCTCCTGCTGATGTTCAGGTGTATATCAGTATGTAGTGTCTCTACTTTAAAGAGTCCTCTCCTGCTGATGTTCAGGTGTATATCAGTTTGTAATGTCTCTACTTTAAAGAGTCCTCTCCTGCTGATGTTCAGGTGTATATCAGTATGTAGTGTCTCTACTTTAAAGAGTCCTCTCCTGCTGATGTTCAGGTGTATATCAGTTTGTAATGTCTCTACTTTAAAGAGTCCTCTCCTGCTGATGTTCAGGTGTATATCAGTATGTAGTGTCTCTACTTTAAAGAGTCCTCTCCTGCTGATGTTCAGGTGTATATCAGTATGTAGTGTCTCTACTTTAAAGAGTCCTCTCCTGCTGATGTTCAGGTGTATATCAGTATGTAGAGTCTCTACTTTAAAGAGTCCTCTCCTGCTGATGTTCAGGTGTATATCAGTATGTAGTGTCTCTACTTTAAAGAGTCCTCTCCTGCTGATGTTCAGGTGTATATCAGTATGTAGTGTCTCTACTTTAAAGAGTCCTCTCCTGCTGATGTTCAGGTGTATATCAGTATGTATTGTCTCTACTTTAAAGAGTCCTCTCCTGCTGATGTTCAGGTGTATATCAGTATGTATTGTCTCTACTTTAAAGAGTCCTTTCCTGCTGATGTTCAGGTGTATATCAGTATGTAGTGTCTCTACTTTAAAGAGTCCTCTCCTGCTGATGTTCAGGTGTATATCAGTATGTAGTGTCTCTACTTTAAAGAGTCCTCTCCTGCTGATGTAAAAGTGTATATCAGTATGTAGTGTCTCTACTTTAAAGAGTCCTCTCCTGCTGATGTTCAGGTGTATATCAGTATGTAGTGTCTCTACTTTAAAGAGTCCTCTCCTGCTGATGTTCAGGTGTATATCAGTATGTAGTGTCTCTACTTTAAAGAGTCCTCTCCTGCTGATGTTCAGGTGTATATCAGTATGTAGTGTCTCTACTTTAAAGAGTCCTCTCCTGCTGATGTTCAGGTGTATATCAGTATGTAGTGTCTCTACTTTAAAGAGTCCTCTCCTGCTGATGTTCAGGTGTATATCAGTATGTAGTGTCTCTACTTTAAAGAGTCCTCTCGTGCTGATGTTCAGGTGTATATCAGTATGTAGTGTCTCTACTTTAAAGAGTCCTCTCCTGCTGATGTTCAGGTGTATATCAGTATGTAGTGTCTCTACTTTAAAGAGTCCTCTCCTGCTGATGTTCAGGTGTATATCAGTATGTAGTGTCTCTACTTTAAAGAGTCCTCTCCTGCTGATGTTCAGGTGTATATCAGTATGTAGTGTCTCTACTTTAAAGAGTCCTCTCCTGCTGATGTTCAGGTGTATATCAGTATGTAGTGTCTCTACTTTAAAGAGTCCTCTCCTGCTGATGTTCAGGTGTATATCAGTAATAAATCCAGCTCTCTGAGCGAGGCGTTCAAAGTTCAGCGCTCAGATATTCTACCATCGTATCTCTGAAATTATTTTATGTAAAAACGAGCTGACGGGAATGAAAAGTCTCCTGATAGGAAACTGCAGGTTCAGCTTCAGGTCAACGTTGCAGAATACATTTCAGGGGAAGAGATGCTAATTTTTTTGTTCATAATTTATATTTCGAGGCTTTGGGTCGTATTCCGGGAGATAAGAGGTTAAAATAATTCACATTTTAAGCCAGTTGCTTCTCATTAAAGCTGCACTACATATTGTTTTAGTTTCGACATTGAGATGCGAGGATTTTATTGTTGAATGAGATAAAAACACTCACAATATCAATTTCAATTTCCTGTCTTTGTGTGTCCACCCTCCCTTACACTGTGAAGCGTCTTTGAGTTCATAAAGAGCGCTATCATTTATCATTATTATTATTACAATAACTGGTGAAAGATTAGATGTTTATTTGTTATTCTAAATGTCCTTTGAAACTACAGATTTACGTTTCATCAAGTTGTGTCTGAAGTAGTTTCCTGTGTGTTTCTTGTTGCCTCTCTTTGAGTTCAGGAGGGACATCCGGAGAGACGGGGTTTCTAACTTTGTCTCGGTTTGAATCTGTTTCTGATGTGGAGGTTTGGTCCTGGGGGGTCTCTCTCTGACGGGGGTCTGCAGGATCTGGGTCATCGTTCCTCTCCGGCCTCGACCTGCTCCAGATCAATATGGAAATCACACAAAGTTAGACTGAATAACGAGCGTTAGAAGAAAAAGCTGCAGTGATTTATTTTAATGTCTCACAACTTTTTCTTGATGTGGTTTATTATGACTTTTATATATGTGTTGACATAATATACTATGACTTTTGTTGACATACTATACTATGACCTTATTTTATATTTTTCGACATACTATACTATATCGCCGCTTTCACACCAAGTACTTTTTATTTTTATTTTTTATTTAACCTTTATTTAACCAGATAAAAACATTGAGATAAAATCTTAGCCGGACTTGTTCCCCCCGAACTCTTTAGTCCCTCGAACTGTCCTAGTAGATCGCCGTCTCACCGGAATAAGTCCCCGAGGGAGGATGAGGCAAATGAAGCCACTGACGTCACTTCTTCTTCTCTCGTAAACTTTGGAGTTGGGGACTGGCTTCAGTCGAAGCTGCTGGGTCGCGTCTTCCCAGTAAATCGCCAGAAGCGCCGACACCTCCTCATCACTCCACCGCTCCTCATGTTTTCTTTTGTGTTGCCATAAGTTAGTCTCTCTGCGTTTGTGCGCTGAGCTAATAGAGAGGCGAAGTCCCTCCCTTTCCGGTGGAGCTCCATGGGACCTTATTTCAGAAAAAGTCAATGGAGAGAGAAAGATTATCTCTCGATCCCGTTTGAATTGAGCCATGAATTACACATATGATGTTTGTCAATCTAAAAGATAATTTTGCAAGTCAAAACATTTAAAATGTGTCGTAAAACTGTGAAGTAACACTTTTTTTTGTGTGAAACCGCTCAATGAACTCCATCTCCCGTCTCGCACCACACACCAAGACGGCCGTCACGTTGGCACATTTCACTTCTTTCTTTCAGAATGAGGCGGAAAGTATTAAACGAGGTGAAAATCACTCCAAGTCTGGGCATGTTGAGAGCTGCACATACACACAAGGGGAGTGAGTCGGTTCCTAAGAGCCAGCATGCGGGACCGGGACTCTGGGATTTGTAGTCTTTCTAGTTGCGTATTTTTCATAGTCTTATATTTCAACAGTTTTACGACAAACTCTGACTTTTTTTACATGGAAATTATTTATTAAGATTGACAAACATCATATGAGTAATTCGTGGCACAATTCAAACGGGATCGAAAGATAAGTTTTCTCTCCCCATTGACTTCAATACAAACTTTTTCCGAAATAAGGTCCCATGGAGCGGAAGTAGAAGGACGGGACTTCGCCACTCTATGTGAGCAAATAAAATGGCGGCTTCACAAAACTTTTCGGAGTTTTACGGGCCGTGGTTTGCAATTCGCCCAGCCAATCAGAAATTGTTAGCGTGGCCGACAAACCCACGAACCTTTTCCTCCCCAGGAAAGTACCACCTCTCTAGCAGGGACGATCTGGGGGTGAAAAGGTTCGCGTGAACTAGGGACTAGGCCCAGATCCTTTTTGGTGTGAAACCAAATCTCCCCCCCACTATCGGCCTAGTTCAGTACTCCGGTGTGAAAGCGCTATATGACTTTTTTCCACATTTTTCGACATACTATAATATCTACTACAATACTACGACTTTTTTCATAATTTTTCCAATGCATGTAACTTTAACATACTACACTAAAACCTTGTTTAAAATGCTATACTGTGTCCGACTAATGAATAATAAATCGTTAAGTTGCGAGACCATTTGTTAATATTGTCGCTGATGAAGAATAACTTGACAAACAACCACATGTATAGTTAGGCAGTATTTTTTTATTATCACTTCATAATGCAGTTTACAGTGTTCTGACAGCAAGTTATAAAACTGATTTACATTCCCTCAGGACTGAGCTTATAGTTATATCAATATAAAAAACTTCTGATAAGAATATATATATACGTAGATATCACAATATGACAAATATATGCTGTATCATAAACTCATCAAACTGGTTTTAAATCAGTAATAAGTCATCAAGACCTTTTTTTTAAGGCTTTAAGTACATACTAATAAGATCATAATATTGAATAATTGTCCAGCCCTGTATTCCTCTGTTATAAAACAATATATATCCTCAGAAATAAATCCATAAAATACATCTTAAACAAACTTAAAATCTTCCAGCAGTCAAAAAATAATATTTGTAATATTTTACATCCAATTATGTTGGCTTTTTGACACTATAGTCACAAATTTATCAAATATTTTGACGTAAATTAAAGGTCTCCTATCATGCAAAATGCACTTGTTGATGTCTTTTCTACATCAACATGTGTCCCCGGTGTGTCGGGGAACTCACGCAGCGTCAGAAAATAAAACCCTCTCTCTTTTCCTCCGTACCCCAAATTTTTATATATTTGTATATATCTGAGACCTATGCTGTTGCCTAGAAATAGCATGATAGGTGCACTTTAAAGGGGACCTATCATGCAAAATGCACTTTTGTACGTCTTTTATACATGAATATGTGTCCCCGGTGTTCCAGGGAACTCACCAAGTGTCAGAAAACACAACCCTCTCTATTTTCCTCCATACCCAAATCTCTAAAAAAGGGGCTGCAACGGATCTGATAAAAACTGATCCAGATTTGAACACTGTCCTGACGTCAGGACGGTGGCGCTACGGCTATTGGGCCAACTCCACCAATCAGGAGGAGACAGCCACGGCCATTGCCGTTCGAAAGCGCTGGAGACGCTGTAGTACATATGCCAGGCCTGTAGATGGTGCTGTTCTCACTGAATCAGCCCTTGATAAAACAGAGCTAAAAATGGTCAAATTGAGCAAAATGAGGCATGGCTAAAATGCATGATCTGTTTGGTATTTTGGAAAAAAAAAAGTATAAATATGCCTTATATAGGTATGGCCCTACACTATATTATTCAAATATAGCATGATAGGTCCACTTTAAGTAAGAAATGGGAATTACTGCAGATTCTTTATCCAGACTTTTCTTTTATACCTTTATACAAAATGTTACTGTAAAGTCTGAATACAGCAGGTTCTATCTTTCCTTTCACACAGCATATGACAGCATATTACATACAGTTTATAATAATCATATATAAAAAATGAGTATTACACCAATATTTACATACAGCAATATGTGTAACGTTTTAAATAAACAGCTTATATGCAGCAGTGTGTGAGAACATTAACATAGTTATATTTATTTATATTCACGGCTCCTTCCCTGTGATCCGTCCGTTATATTCATTAATAATCAGATGTATCTTTAATATCCAACGACCTGAGATGTTAATTCATAACTGTCACTTTTTTAATTATCTGTGCCAATTAATGAGCTCTTCAGCAAACAATGTAAAGCTGTGGTTTGTTTACTGCTATTCATTTTGAATGAAAGGGTAACACTTCTACACGAGTCCTTACTTACATGTCACAGCTGTGATCCACCAGGAACATCTATTTGTTTTTTAATCCATAAATGAAATAAGGGATAATTGGTCGTTTTTAAGGTTGATTTTGTCTTTAAAATATCAAAAAATAGTGAAAAATACCCTAAAATGTTCACTTTAATATGATATTAAACAGAGAAAAGCAACAAATCCTATATTTGAGTCCCCGAAAACAGCTTTTAAAGACATTTTGCATGACACATTTCAAATGTATCCCAGAAATGTGCGATCCTTTTGACTAATCGATGCTTCTCTGTGGATCAGATGTGTGCTCAGCGTCCGGTGTAGATGAAGTCTGAGGGAAAAGCACACAGATGAGTTATTATGAGGTAAAACTATGATTATATTTAAATGTCCCTTCGATAGGAGTGTTCCCTACTGATGTCCCCGTGTTCTGGAATACAGGGATTGCAGACCGTTGACATGCACTAAAAACCTATAGAACACACTGTAGAGTATTTGAAGGTGTTTTCTCACCGCGGCAGTACTCGGGGTTGAAGTTCTCGTAGATGGGGTACAGCGGGTTCTCCTGCTCGCTGCGGTGCTTCCTCGCTCTCAGGACGTCCCGCACACACTGGTGCAGGAAGGCATACTGACACTACACACACACACACACACACACACACACACACACACACACACACACACACACACACACACACGTAATAAAGTATGTAAACAAATTCCAGCCAGTCGAAGCCAAAACATGTCCCCATTGAAACCCAAATATTTATTGACTAATTACAGCTTGAATCAAAATGCTTTCTTTCTTATCATTTAGCCAGTTTCCCCTGTGGACAGATGCTAGTTTCCTCTCTGTGTCAATGAGTGTGTATCAGTGTGTGTATCAGTGTGTGTATCAGTGTGTGTACCTCTGTCTGCACCATGTGCTGGCGGTGCAGTCGGAGGTCGAACACGCCGCCGTACAGATCGATGTTTCCTTTAGAGTCGAGCTGCTGCAGAACCCGGTCCAGAGCGATGAACGTCCCCGTACGACCCACACCAGCACTGACACACACACACACACACACACACACACACACACACACACACACACACACACACACACACACACACACACACACTTACGTGATTATCCAACATACACATGTATTCTAGCAGTATATGAAAAGCAGCAGAACTGGGTCCCCTTGAATATCTGTTAGAGAACTCTCACTCGTCCCCGTCTTGAGCTTCAATCTCAGGATCCATGTATGTGTGATCCTCTCCAGAATGGAAGTAGTCATCACATACAGAGCATCAACTAGTTCCTGAACAGTGTCCTACACATGCTGATATCCAAGAGAGGGAGTTACACAGTCACAAGATGGAGGAATACCGGGTTCTTCTAGGTAATCATACATCCTGTCATGTTCACAGCTACAGTTGGGATACCTTTGTTATCATGTGACTCTCATGTTGGAGGAGGACATTCAGTATTTATCAGATGGTCTGTTACCTGCAGTGTTATCAGATGGTGTGTTACCTGCAGTGCACCACGGTGGCTCCGGTGCTCGGGCTGCGGTCCACGTAGTCCCGGGTCGTCCTGACGAACTGGATCAGAGACTGCGAGCTCTCGGGCACGCCGTGATCCGGCCACACCGTGTAGTGGAAGTGCCGAAGCACCCGGGGGTAACTGCAGCTGCTCTCCTGAAGGACATGAGGTGTTAAAGGTCTCCTATTATACTATTTAAAACATTTAAAAAAACACGCGAACATACAGCACCGGGAAAATCTATAGTTACTCCTCTAGCAATAATATTTGTACCTTTTATCTGCATTGTCCCTTTGCTCATTCTGGTGGGAAGTATAACAATATGTAACTCTCAGTCAAGTACTTGAGTAGCTGTGTTTTATTACATGACGCCAACAGGCAGGAACAGGGAGACAAAAGTCACAGCAGCTCAAGGTTTCAGGGCTGTGCTCAGTGAGGGCAGTGGAGGAGCCAAAATGCTACTTAGCCCAAGTTTATTATTTGTATTATTATTATTTGTTTACGTCACTTTTAGTTGTATTTGTTGAGCACTTCTGGCAATAGTCACATGGGTGTGGTTTGTGTATTTATGTCACCTGTTGCATGTCGGGTGCGGATGACAGAGGGTTGTTGTCCTTCTAAGTTAATGAGTGTTTGATTTTGTTTATTAAATATCTTTCTCATTGAAAAGGCAGCATAAAGCCAAGCTTAGCGTCTCGGCGACTCAAACCTAAATGTGAATTGAGCCGCCACAGGCAGTACTTTGATAAACTGGGTCAAAGTTATGGGCCTAGGAAGATATTTCCCCAACAGGAATGAAACTGTAAATGAAACAGGTGAAACATGTAGAGCTATATTTACCGATGTGATCCTGAACTCTCTGATGGTCCACTCCGGCAGCACGGACTCCGACAACATCTGAACCACCAGCTCTCCGTAGTACAGAGGGTCTCTGTCGGGGGGCCAGTACTGATCACACTTCACCTGCAACACAAATATAACATTAGTATATTCACGCTGAAGATGCATGTAAAGGGTCTGCATGTGTTCCCTCCCACACATGTCAATCTGTTCATTAGATTTATATTTTTATACCGTAACTATATACAATGTTCATATTGTGCCCCATAGATAAGCTTTATGTTGATGACATATTTAACTTTTAACTATGAAATAAAAATAGATATAATGTCCTCACCCGTCCCTTCTCCACACACTGCGTAACCATGACGATGTTGTGAACGCCGTGCTCCCACACCATCCGCCAGAAATCGTCTTTGGTGCCGGGCAGCGGACCCTGCGTCGCCACGTACTCCCTGCGGAAGTTATTACCCTACACACACACACACACACACACACACACACACACACACACACACACACACACACACACACACACACACACACACACACACACACACACACACACACACACACACAGAGGAGAGGTCAGTGTGTGTGATATCTGACTGTAGGAGCCAAAATGCTTGTTTTGCCATTGCTTATTATTTCTATTATAATCTTCATCTCAGTGTGTGTGTGTGTGTGTGTGTGTGTGTGTGTGTGTGTGTGTGTGTGTGTGTGTGTGTGTGTGTGTGTGTGTGCGCTCACAGGGATGTAGCTGGCGTTGATGTAGTCGGAGCAGGGGTCGTCCTCCAGGAAGGAAAGCTTCACTCTCGTAGAGTCGTCTACACAAAGACACAACTTTAATTAGAAATATATCAAATATTGTATAAATTATTTTACGAGTTTTGTTTTTATAATTAAATAAATATTATTAAAACATTCTTAAAAGTCACTGAAAACAATAATTACAATTTTTAAAAATAAGAGGTTCATAAAATGTCTTTATTCTTTATTTAAAAAGTCTTTAAAAATGAACAATTCAAAAAGTGAGAGTGAGAGTGAGAGTGTGAGTGAGAGTGAGAGTGAGTGAGAGTGAGAGTGAGAGTGTGAGTGTGAGTGAGAGTGAGAGT